GGCACGCCGAGTTTTCCCTGGAACACAAAGAAAAGTGTCAGAACTCGGGAGCAGCTCCCAGACCAGCAGGAAGCGGGGGGTGCCGAGTGCAGAGAGGAGCAGAGCAGATGTGAATTAAATTTAATTCTGGGGTGGAATTAAAGTCCTGGGGCCCTGAGCTGATCCCGTGCCCTCCCTGAGGGATTCCCAGTGGGATGACACAGAGTGAGTATTGTAAATGTACTGGGAAACAGTTGGGAATGGCTGGGATTTTATCTAAATGGGTCTGGAGTCCATCACATTTTCCATTTCTGCATTTTTCCCCTCTGACCTTTTTTCCAAGGCACTGTACCCAAACAGATGACCCCAAAGAGCTTCAACGTCCTCAAGTCATGGCTGCACTAAACCCACCTCCCCTGAACCTCCCTTCACACCAACCTCCCCCAGCTCCTCCTCATCCCTCTGCCCCAAAACTGTCCCCTCACAGCGGGCACAGCCCCACCCACCTGAGCCAGCCTCAAACAGTGGGGTTGAGTGTCAAACACCCCATGGAACCTGAGCCAGCCCCAAACAGTGGGGTTGAGTGTCAAACACCCCATGGAATCCCCATCTTTGACCCACCTTCTCTCCAGCAGGCCCAAGGGGACCGGGATCTCCGTTGGGGCCAGAGCGACCTTTGGGACCTTCGGGCCCATCCTCACCCCGGGGGCCGGGGGGGCCAATTTCCCCCTGTTAATCACAAGGGAAATGTTAATTAGACAGACAGCTCCAGATCCCACAGATCCATGGAGCTGCTCGAACAGGGACAGTTGGGTTTCACCAGGAGGCTCAGGGGATGTGGAAATGTGGAGCAGGACCAAAGCATCCATTTTTTCCTGCAGCTTTATCCCATCCACACCCAGAATTTCTCCACAAAACCAGCYTTTGTTAGCTCTGATTCCACCTTTCCCTCTCCTCCCGCTTCCCAAATCATGCTGGTCGCGCAAAGCCAGTCCTGGGAAGCGTTGAATTGAGGGCTGAGCTGGGATAAAGAGAGCAGTGGAGATTTTGTGCTGGGAATCACTGGGAATTCTGAGAGGCCGAGCTGCTGGCAGGGATTGTGGCACTGCCAGTGCCAGCACAGGGGCCAGCAGTGTCCCTTTGTCACCCAGGGGAGCAGGAGATGGCTCCACCAGGCTCACCAGGAGGKGTTGGACACACATTTCAGGGGTCCCAGACTCTCACCCGGTCTCCTTTGATGCCCATGTCACCTTTGAAGCCAGGGAAGCCATCTTCACCCTAAATTATGGAGAAGGGGACAATCAGCCAAGGTTATATAGATGGGGACAAAAGGGGAATGGAAGCTGGGGTTCCTGCCCAGGGAGGACAGGCTGAGGTCCCAACACAGTGGCTTCTCCAAATCCTTGGAGCACACAAACAGTCATGGAAACCCACCCAGAACCCCAAGAGACCCCTACAGTGTCCCCAAATGTGCCCTGGATCCCTGACATCACAGCAAGAACCCACAGCCACTCCAAAACCAGATGTTAGGGGTCCTTTGGGTGCTCAACCCCTGTTTTTTCTCCAATGAAAAACCCCTTGTGCAGGAGAAAAGATCCCAGGGAACATCCTGTGGGATCCATCTGCAAAAACAATCAAAAACTGTAGTAACTCCACCCAAATGGAACTCACCTTTTCCCCTTTGGTGCCTTTCAACCCACGAACTCCATCTGCTCCCTTGAGAGAGAAAGCAAGATGTCACCAGGGGATGGGTAAGGTACGGAGTGAAGAAATTAAAAATCACCATTAATTRCGGTGATTTCTGCTTTCTCTGATTTTGATAATTTTATCTTCAAGCTGTGATGGTCCCAAACATGTTATAAATTAAATATCAGCCACAGCCCTCYGGTTTTTGGCTCACCAGGGAACACCTTATGGTCCCAAACCTCTGCTGTATTGATTTATTGGTGGCATTGGTGGTCTCTAYCCATAAATTCTGTTTCCAGGGATTAAATTCACTCTGAATTTTTTTTTTCCCCTCTAGATATTTTCCATAAAAACTGTCTCTTGGGAAAAAAAAACATTGAGTATCCACACCAGCACAAGAAAAACCACCCCTTTTGGGTTTCTTTTTAAGAAGGAATTATACTTTTCTTGGGTATTTTAATTTTTTTCTTCCCCTTAGCATGTCAAGGAGAAGTATTATTAAAAGTCCTTTGAGATTTGTACAGCAGAACAGGGCTCTGGTAAGCGAGGAAAGATCTAAAAGTTCTTTAAGGCTACAAACCCAATCAAAAACTTTTTTTTTTTTCCAAGCTGGAGGCTCATTCAGTTCATGGGAGCTGCTTGTAGGAGGCAAAACCTTGGCTGTAGGGTTCGGTGCACGACACAATTTCTTTTAACTCCCTTTAATGTGGAGCAGCCCCACTTTAATGGGAAATCCAAAATTCCCTAATAGATCACTCTGTCTCAATCTCCAGCCTTGCAAGAATCGAGCTGGAAGTTCACTTTGGTTCAACACATCCCACTCAGAGCTTGAWGGCGGAGCAGCAAATGGGTTTCTGCTGCTGGAAATGGGGTTTGAGAGGGTTTAATGTCACCTCTCTCTGTCCCCAAGCTGTGTTTGTGCTCCCAGCACAGATCCCTGCGGATTCGTGGGATTTTTGGGGTGCAGGATGGGCCCTGATGGGGTCAAACCCAGAGGTGAATGAGATAAAAAAAACCCACAGCATCAGCAGCAGCTGCTGGCAGGGCTGGGGCAGCAGGAATGGGGCAGAGCTGGAATTTAATCTGTGAAAAAGCACTTTGGGAGGTGCCTGGCCAGGTTTGGGATCATGGAAAGATCAGGAAGAAGATGTTCTGCATTATTAACACTCATGCTGGCTGAGATTTACCTGGATGCAAACTGGGAAGAATGGGAATGGGATCGAGCCTTGCTCTCCTGGAATCCCAAAGGAAATCCCCCCAAAGTGCTGAACTGTGCTGGAAGGGTTATTGGGAGCAGGGAATTTGTAACGCCACAGACCAAATGCTGGACCAAGGCTCGCTGAACGCTCACTGAGGTGGCCCCAGGGGACATTTTTGGCCACCAGAAGCGTCCAGCACAGGCTGGAGAATTCCAGKGACACGGCCACAGCTCCTGCACATCCTTACCTTGACTCCACGGGGTCCTGGGTAACCAATGGGGCCCTGAGGACCTGGGGGACCCTGAGGGGAACAAAATGCAAACCAGGAAAGCACATCAGAAAACAACACAGAGGTGCAGAGAAAGGAGGGGGTGTGGAAAACAAAATTCTCATTTCCCACATGGGATAGAAATGGAAGCAGCCACCTGAAAATAGCCCCAAATATCCCAAAAAGCCCCAAATAGCCAAAAGTAGTCCCAAAATAGCCCCAAACAGCCCGGGGAGCTGCAGGAGCATCAYCTCCAGCAGCTGTGCTGGTGTGTGGAGCACTGCTGGCCAGGAGAGCTGGGGTGAGCTCAGACCAGAGGAGATACCCCCAGATAAAATCTGGGCTCAGCTCTMATTTCAGCCACGTTTTCTTCTCTGCCCATCCCTGTGGAGATCCTGGCAGAGCCGAGGGTTTTGGGCACACCTACCTGACTGCCCTTCTCTCCAGGAGGCCCCTCCTTGCCAGGATGACCCTATGGATAAACGAGACAAAGAGAATTTGGGGGTTAAGGCACATTTAAAGCTTTGGCAGCTGTGGTTGATCTGCCAGAGAGCAGCTGCTCCCCAGGAAGCTCCAATTTTCACCTCCCTGAAGCCACGGAAGATTTCCCAAAAGGAGCAGAGCAGCATTTGGTGGTTTCCCACCTGCTTATTCCTAAATTTACCCTTTGCCACCTCCCAGCAGGAGTTCAGCAGGAAAGCACCCCGGGAATTTCACAGGTAGGAAAAGAGAGAAAATCCACGTGGCAGGAAAATTGTGAAGGTCCCAAAGAGACCCTCACTGAGTTCCTGATTCCAGCAGCAGATCCCATGATGAGCTCAGCTAAGCTGCACCTCTGCTGGACAGAGGCTGCCCAGCATTCCTGAGGGATTTGATGGTCAAAAATCTCAGCATCCCAGRGATTCCAGCAGTTCCCATCAATGGCCTTTGGAGCTTTTTGATGGGGTCACAGCCAGGAAAAAAAAAAAAAAAAAGTGTGAATTGACTCAGGTGGAGTTGGGAGGATCGGTGAGAAATGGGGGACCCAGAAATGTATTTTTTAGTGTTTCCCTACTGCTGCATCCAAACTGGAGCTGGGATGGAAAAGAACCCTTGGATTGGCCATATCTGTGCAATATCAATGATCTCCAAAAGGGCACTCACTGCTCATCCAGGGCCCCTCATTTTTGAGGGATGGTGAAGCACACCCAGCTGCTCTAAAGCCATTCTGCACTCATTGCTGTCTTTACTGAGCTGTCTCCTTTAAATACTCACATTTCTACCAAAAAAAACCAGGCAAATTCTGTCTCCCATCATCACTTTCAGAGCAGGAATGTCAGACAAGCCAGATTCCCTAAACCRAGCTGCTTTAATACCGGAACAAGATGACAGCTGACATTTTTAACATCAGCAAAAAAGCGGGGAGAAAACTCAAATCTCAGTTTGCCCTGGGGTTTTAACGGAGCAGCAGTGCAGGCAGGATCCATGAAACCAGTCCTGCCTCCAGCTCTCCAGGGAGGTAGATCAGACCTGCAGCAGCATTCCAAAAGTCCACTCTGCACTAAATCATCYCCATTTTCACCRTGCCCATCTCTTTGRCTGCTCCCAAAATCACAAAYTGAKSAGCAGCTCCYGCAGCGAGRCCCTTAGGGATTTTCAGGGATTTTCCAAGACTCATTTCCAGAATTAAACGCTTTTTTTTTGTCCTTGGAAAGCACAACCCACATGTTTACAAACCTCAACCCCCGCCCAGCACACGGATATCGGTGGAAAAGCTCCCCTGGCTGTGCACAACCACTCTGGGCTCAGCCTGCAGCTCCAGGCTGCACAGAAACWGAGCTTCCCCAGCAGCAGCAGCAGCTCCCCGGAGGCTGCTGCAGGAATTTCACATCAAAACCTACAGATTTAGAGATGTTCTGGGCTTTGCTCGAGCTGCTCTGTTGACTCAGCTAACAATTGTACGGATGTTCCAAGTGCCCTCCGAAGGAATGATAATCCCAGGGTGAGAAATGTAATTTTTTTTTTTCTTCCTCAGGCCGTGCTCTGCATTTGCATTTGTGGAATGAAGCAATTTTGATTTTTTTTTCGTTCCTAAACCCGGGTGCCTGTCTGAGATRGGTAAAAATGAGATCAGGTTTAAAGACCAGTGATTTTTTGAGACTGATTTGTAGAGCGAGGAGCAGCAAATGATGTTTAAAGTAGGATTAGAGGGGGAAGCTGCAGGAATGGAAGAGTGACAGGTAATTCCCACCTGCTCTTATCACCTCTGTGCAGGGCACGGGCAGGGATGTGAACAAACACATCAGGAGCCCATCCCTGCCTTGGGGAGCTGCCAGCATCCAGAAAACACAGAGGAGGGACAAAAGGAAGGGAAAGAGAGGCTTGAAGAGATGATGAGAAGYACAAAAGGTGAACAAAACTGTGAGCAAAATTGTGAGCAGGGATGGGGCTCCCCAAACTTGAGCCCAGCCTKCAGGCAGGGTAAGCTGGACCAGAATATTGGGTTTTTTCCATGCTAAACCCAGGACTTTATTTCCGTATTAAACTGTCTTTCTTTCCATATTAAATTCTCTTTATTTCCATATTAAACTGTCTTTTCATCATATTAAACTGCCTTTATCTCAAATCATGACTTTCCTTGCTTTTACCCTTCCAATTCCCTTCCTGACTGAGGAGGGAGGGAGGGATTGGCTGTGAGGGGCTCAAATCCCAACTTGGGCTC